CCCTGCCCCAAAGACAGTAACAGTATTTTCTATGGAGATAAAGCCATACATTTCTTAGGATGCGCTAGATACATTCACTGCGCATGCAGACACACACACACACACACACAAATACACACACACACACACATGTAGAGGGAAATTGATACACATGCTGTCCACATGCCTTCACACAAACGCACAGATGCACTCCACATGCACTAAAATCAGATTACAAATCTAGAGAAAACGTTTTTGCAAATAGTAACTGTGGCTTATGCAGTCTTTCAAAATAATAGCACTACGGAAAAAAATATGCCAATACTTAGATTTTGCTTTGCAGTGTAGCAACATACTGCAAGACTACAGGGCAACGGATGTTTTGAGGAGGCACAGAAATTCTGGACTGTAAGGCGAAAGGTCTATTTGAATATATTCCAAGGGCTATACAAGCGTTATCATAAGCTGGATAATTACATTAAATCTAACAAGTCCAAGTTTGAATCTTAATCGGTGTCATAACAGCCATCATTAACATTCACATACTGAGTTTTTTAATTAAAATATGTAGTAAAACAATCAAAACTAATATGCAAAAGTCCAAAGCTAAAGCCGTTTTGAAAAAAAATGTCTCTCTTGTGTAAAGAAAGCTTGCACGTGAAGCTCCCATGTCATAAAGTCACTATTTTAGGCATTGTGGTGTAGAATTAAGACAATATTGATGAGTGATTTTACCTTTGTGCAAAAGTGGTCAGGAGTGCTGCAGGATGGAAAACATGCATTTACGGAGACAATTTCAGTAGAGTCCGCTGGTAATGGATTTGACTGAGGTGCATCCATAGTAATTGTGTTTTGTGTTATCTCCAGAGCAGCTGTCCAAATGTCTGTTTTTACTCACAATGAAGCAAAACCAGCCCTTTGTGAACCAACACTTATCTACTCTTCCCAGAAATAATAAAAAGCATTTTATAAAAGTGTGTTGCAAAGGTTTAGTTTTTGACAAGCCAGTCATTTTACATTAAGGTGCTTCATTTCTACAAAGCCAGGCAAAACATAACATGTACAGTAACTCGTAGGCAGTCCATACACAATACACTGTATGGACACACAGTTTAAACACACATACTCTGTAAAGTTGATATAATCCAAAATGGAGCATTACTCTGCAGTGCTTTCAGCAAATGGCTAATGTATCAAAACCAGGCAAATGTGTACAGGTATTAACAACTTCTTAAACACATTCTATTCAGCTGTTGTACAGATGATGTTTTGAGGTACATGTTGATGAATGCTTGATGAAGAACTGTTGGTATGATCACCTTTCCTAATTTAGATTATGTCCTTTATCGTATCTTTGGGCCAAGTACTACTATTTTAGGTATGGCAGGCCCAGTCATCTGGACCATTAACTTGTCTCACACCCCACTGGTTTCTGGGTGGTTGTGGAACACTACTATGATGCTACTGAAAAGCGATAGAGCCACTGGGGAAGAAAAACAGTGGGGGCGTGTGATTATTATTATTTTTTTGTGCCCTGTGTGTATGTATTTACATGTGTGAATGGAGCAAGTGTGGCTTAAGTTTGTTTGTGTGTGTGTGTGTGTGTTTGTGTTTTTTTTTTCTGGCAAGCATGTGCATAGTTGATCTGCTCTTTCAGCGTGGGTATTATGCATTTATGTTATAGGATTAGCCGTATCCTATTTCCACATTTAGATTTGCACGGAGGAGATACAATGTGAAATGAGGCATTAGAGCAGCTAGCAGGAATTGTCTGTTTTGATAAGCAACTGTGATGATGCGAGAAAAGACTTTCTGCATGGTCACCCAGCCTAAAGTTAGACGACATGACATCATTAACACAGCAGGGTGGTGGTGTACTGTATTTGTGGCCATAGCTCTTGTAGTGATGGCACTGTGCTGCATTATGAGGTCTCTTCTGTGGTGGTAATTGTGTAAAGATTGGTGTACAAAGAGATGGAGGTAGCGTGATCACAACTGTCACAAGGGACTGTACAAAAATTATTTGAGGTGCTCTTAAAAGGGTAGTGGTGTTTTACATTTTTTGCTCAAGGGTAGTTTAAATTTTTTGGGGGAGCAGGGGAGGGTGTTTTAACTTTTTCTTATACCAGAATTATATTTTTTTTATGTATTCTGGGGTGAAAATATTATGGCGCTCAAGTCTATCAGCACCAACAGAGATGGCGCCTGGGCCTAGTCCACTCATTCAGTGGCTTTCATAGACCTAGTTGTTTAGCCGCTGTTTATTCAAAAGTAGACACTGGCTGTATTTTCACTATTTTGTTATTTTTTCCATAAATAAGTGATTTTGAGATAATAATACTTAAATATTAGTAGAGGTTTAAAGGGTATTGCTCTTTTATAAAAAGAAAAAAAAGAAACTCCCCTTCCCACTAATTTTTGTACAGTCCCTTGTCAGAAAGGCCTCATTTTACAATCCGTCTTTGTTGTGCATTATTGTGTTCAAGTTGTGAAGGACCCTTAAGCTAATCTCTCACTGTTTCTTTATTTTGCCCCTTTTTGTCCTTTTTAAGGAATAAAAAACTGTCTAAAGGTTCATAGGATGAATGGGAAAGTATTTTTGAGAGAATTATATTTTGCTGGAAAACAATATTTAAGTACTTTGTCTAAAAATGATATCCTTTTTGTAAAATGAAATGTTAATGCATGCTTTTTGATGAGATGTTTACATTGTATTTAAAAAAGGGAAACTTGTGCCTTTTTATCTCACCTGATTTACAATTTTACAGTATATATTGTAAATAATACAGCAAGTCCTTATGTTGAGTATAGTATAAAACATTTCTACTTTAACCATCTTGTTGGAATATTGGAAAAATATGTGTTTCCCACTCGCCATGTTCTGTGTGTTGGATCACAGAGAAGAATTTACAGTAAAGGTTGGTGCCAGAAAGGGCCAAATAGAGAAATGAATGTATCATACATTGTGAGAGACTTATGGAACTTACTACCTGAATGTTAGAGAGAGTACATTTATTATCTTCTTATTAAGTAAAGTTATTTGATTTTGCATTTTTTTTTTTTTTTTTTTTTACTTTTTGCATCATTGTTCAAGTGGCTCAAACAAAAAATAATAATAATCAAAAAGTATTTCTTATTTTGTAACAAGATGTATCAAGTGATGGATCCTTGAGTTGTTGCTGTTGATATGATTTCCTAACCCATGGAGGTATTGTTGATGAGCACCACAATAAAATCAAGAAATCACAAACTAATGAAACTGGGATACGTGAAAGAAAGTTCTTGACTTTAAAATAGAAACTTTGTGCACACACAACATTAAATGAAATGATGGACGTAGACACTGTAGACCTGAAGTTTAGCCAATTCAAATTGGACTGTTTTGACCAGTTAATAACTTAGCATATTGCACTAACTGCTAAAATATGTTTTAATTATAAAAGAAACAAAATATGTCCCAATGAATGATAATGTTAAAACAGTAAAATCTATACACAGTAGATTCCTGGAAATGATGACAATGTTATCAAGCCCCCGGACGACCCTCCTGTACTTCAGAAATATAGGCTTTGGCTGCTGGCTTGACTGGATTTTATTAATTAATTAATGTTTTAAGGAATAGTTCAACCTTACGGGAAATACACTTTGCTTCCTTGTTGAGAGTTAGATGAGAAAATT